TGTTTTTTTATGGTTTTTTTTTTTTTTTCTTTTTTTTTTTTTTTTTTTTTTGGTACCAGGGATCAAACTCAAGGCCATGCACTTTCGAGGCAGGTGGTGGCACCACTGAGCTAAATCCCTGGCTCTTGTTTTCATATTTCACTAAGTCTTTGCTCAAAAGTGGCCTAGCCTATTTACGCAAGTACAGTGAAAACTTGCACAAACAGCCGTGTGTGAAGTTTCTACAAAGCTGTCCCAAAGTAGGAGATATGTCAAGATCCTGAGCCTGAGGATGGACGCACTTGTGGCACAATGGTACACTGAAATACTTCTCATCGATAAAAACAATGAATACAGACAACATGGACGAATCATAATTTATCTTTCCCTTCAGCTAAGAGAAACTAGAGTCAAAGGCTACACACTGCACAATTCTGCCATGTAACATTCTAGACAAGGCAGAACTGTGTGTTAAATGAAAAGAGGACAGATAGGTGGTTGCCAGAAGTGGGGTGGTTGGGCCTGAGAACCACGGGACCCAGAGAAGTGTGCTGCAGCGATGAAGTTGTCTGTTGACAACTTTCCTGAATTCGTCAAGGCTCACAGAACCCTGTCCAAAAATGGTGACGTTTACTGCAGGGCAATTATACTTTAATACAAAAACAGAAAAAGGCCACATCAGCAATGCTGTCTTCCTTAACCATCCTATACTTACTCTGACTTGTAATCCCTCCAGGCATTTATCACCATTTGACAAACTATACAGTTTCTTTACTTACTGTCTGTCCTTCCCTTCCCACTAGTGTCTGCTATTGCTCACTTTGTAACCCTAATAAGCCTGGCAGCTGTCTGTTGAATGAACAAGTGGGTTATTGACAGTGGTTCACATACCATAGATTACAGAGGGGCAGCACTGTGGGCAGCACTGTGGGCACCTGGGCTGCAGAGAGGCTCTGTGACACAGGCAGGTTAGGCAGCTGTGGGGAGGACCAGCTGTGTGCTTCTACCAAGGGGAGAGTGCTGCCGCCCAGCTGCATGCCCCAAGACGACTGCTGAAAGGAGGAAACCCCTTGCAGAAGCGCACTGTGAGATCACAGAGCTGATGAAGACAGCTACATGGTTTTCCCACAGCCATCCTGGCTCATAGCCGCCCATAAGCCATCTGTCTACTGCTAAGAACGTACTGAAGACATCTGTGCCCAGCAAATGCTACCAATTGGGTACGGAGGAGAGAACCAAACCAATGTACCTTGGCTGGTCCACAGGACTAGACTACCTTGTCCTGCAGGACATTTATAGGACAATAGCAATGCTTGGACATGGTCAATAAATTAGTATCATATTAATGTCCTATTTTGATAATCAAGCTGTGGTTTTGAGATCTTCCTTGATTTTATAAAAAACTCACACCAAAGTATTTAAGTGTACAAGGTTTATGGGTGCGATTTTCTTACAAACTGCTCATAAAACAGTATGTACTTACATATGTGTACCTGTGCATATACATGTATGTGGAGGGGCCAAGGAGAAAGAGGTAAGGGGAATATAGGAAGGAAAAAGCAGACAGTCAATCATTAAAATCTGAGGGACTTGGATGAAGGGCATACAAGAAGTATTTCGATTAGTTTTGCATTTTTTCTATAAATCTGAAATTACAGTATTTCAAGTTAAATAGAAAAGATGTTATCGAGTCAGCATGATGGTTGCTGAAATGTGGCAGAAAGGCAGGACACTGCAGTTGGGACAGTAGGAAGGCTCAGCATGGGGTGGGGGATGCCCGAGAACTAAGGGAGTTCTGACTTCGAGAAGGGACAGCCCAGGCCAGCAGCCAATCGTGGCACATAGTCCACAAGCAATGTTTGCTGGAGGTTGGCCAGAGCACGGGGCTGGTATCGGAGAGCAGCCGAGTGAACGGGGGCACCAAGTGAGACTAAGGAAAAGTCAGTGTCACTAACCGAGGTCCTCCCAATGCATACAAATGCATATGGGCAAGAACGCCCAGTTAGAGAGCTCCTCCCCCCACCAAAGAAAGAGAGGCCCTCTTCTAGGGCAGGAGGCCAGAGCCTCAGGATATAGCTGCGTTTGGACTTTAAAGGGGTGATTGTGTTAAAATGGCTAAGGGTGGACCCTAATGGACTCTGAGTGATGCCCTCATAAGAAGAGATTAAGGAGGAGGTCAGGAAGAGGAAGTGGGGAGGGAAAGGGACAGCAAGACAGCGAGACAGACACACCGATGGGCAGACCGAGACTGAGTAGACATCCATACACACAGAAGGAAAGTATAGGGAGAAGGCCTTCTATAAGCCAAGGCCGGAGACCTTGATCTTACATTTCTGACCTCCAGAACTCCAAGAAAACAAATTCTGTGGCTGAAGCAGCAGTATGGTACCTACAGATAGATGGCTGCCCCAGACTGCTGCAGCCTGGATGAGCTCTGGTGGGGTGGGAGCAGGTGGAGGGGAACAGTCCCTGGGACAAGGAGGCAGACAGCAGAATAGAAGACTTCAGAGTACTGCCCTGTGCTGGTGGCTGTGATAAAGCCATATGGGTACAGGCACAGCCCTATCATGAATCTTTCAGTGTTACAGTCAAATAGGCTTAAAAGACACATTTTTTGGTTTGCTTTGTAAATCTGGAGGTACTACTGTTTGATTTGGTTAGCATTTGAAGCTGGCTTAGTTTTTATCAGTAAAAACAATTTTAAATGTTAACAGTGTTCTGCATGCTATACGTATTCTCTATAAGCATCTGCGGGAATCCATTTAATGGTGTTCTGGGCTCATAAGGGAAAGAGCCACCGGATTCAAAACCCCAGTTTCTTGGCATGAGCTTCTCAATCAAACGTGAGCATGGTGCCTCCACAATTTATGAAGGAGACGGACTCTCATATGGGTCAGGTGTTTTGCGAAGGTGCGCAAGCCAGGTATGGCCCCTCTAGAGATAGGACCATGGCCTCCTGCCATCCCATATATCTGGCTGCTTCCCTTTCCAGCTGATGCCCTGCCCTGCCCTCAAATCCATGCTTCTGAGACTCCTCTCTGTCCCTTTGCAGAACTGCAGAGGGACACGGGTGCTGGTGCTGGACTTGGCTCATAAATAATGCTTGTTCACTCACTAAGCTGTGTGGCTTAAAACTCAGTATTTAACCTCTTGAAGCTTCAGTTTCCTCATTAAAAAAAAAACAGAAAGCATAAATAAATCTTGTAAATATAGCATACAGTATATGCTCTACCAGCCTGTCCTCCACTCACCCCTCCTTCCCAAACAGAAGATAATCTCCTTCTTTGCCCCATGGGACAAATTTAGCTCCTTCAACTGCTTAGCATGCCACCTGGGGCACAGTTCATGGCAGACCCAGGACTACACGCAGCTCGTGGTGGCACCTTGTGCCCCTTCTTCCAGTTCAGGTGCCCAGTAAATGCTTTTGCTGATCCAGATGCCCCAATTTCAAGTGATCCTCGGGCCACTAATCATTTCCTGTCCTCAGGACCCACCTTATCTCATTCCTCCTGGCCCTCTGTCTCTCACCCTCTTCTCTGACACCCCAAGTTTTTGGCACCTGCCACTGTCAGAGAGGAATATCCTATCCTCAAAGGAAAATGAAATTCAGCCATCTTCTCAAATCCCACAATGGCTGCTGGTCAGGGGTCAGGCAAGGAGGGCAGAGAACACCCCCTCTGTTTGCTTGTGTTCAGCCTAGGGAGAGTAACTCAAATATACTCCACCAGCTGTGTATAACTCCTGACCCCAAACACTCACTCCTGCTCTTAAGAGTCCATTATCTGTGGCCTCTCCTGCCCACATACTCCCTGAAGCAAGCTCTCTCTCCTGAGCCCATCGCCCTGCATCCAACCACCAGTGAAGGCAAACATATAATGCAAGCCCACATGTTCAGTACCAAGTCCCGGATCTTTTTCCCAAACTGCTCCTTGCCCTTGTCTCTTCAAAGGCCCCCTCCCTGCCCACAGCCAGTCACAGATGCCCACTGACTCCATTAACTAAATGCCTTTTCAGTCTGTTACTTTCCACATGTCTACCATCACCATTCCAGTCCAAAGTGTACTATATCTAGGCCCCTGGTTTCCAGGCCTGTCCTAGCACAAGGTGGCCAAAGTGAGCTTTCTCAGAT